GTAGTGAGAGGTAGCAAGGGACAGGGGACTTATCTCGTGGCGCTTCACTCTGCAAACCCTTCTCAAATAAGAGATGTGAAGTGAACTATAGCTTCTGCTTGTTTCGAAGAAAGAAATTGATCTGTACGAGCAGGTTATCTGGCCCAACAGGACTTTCCAGTTTCTTAAGTTACCCAGGATGAGTTACCTTGTAAAATACCTAGAGAAAATTGAGATTGGGGTCTAGGGTACTCTTGCCGTCCCTAGACTTCATTCAACCACCTAGCACCACATGAAAGGTTAAAGAGCATGGGAAATTCGTGTATAGGGCACACAGCCAACCCAGAAATAAGTGTTGCTTTCCAGATGAGCGGCAGTGACCTTCCTGATCACTCTTTCCGCACCTCTTCACGGTCATCAATCCTTTATTCTACCCTCCAGAACTCTCGTGATATCTCCGGAAGCCCCTCACACTGAAATCAGCAGCCATGGTTATCCGAGTCATGCTGGAACTAACAGCCAGCCCATTGGTCGAGAGGTATGCCCACGATGTCCAACAACAGTGGGGGTCATTAGCAAGGTTAGGACTGCATGGAATGGCGGCGACAGCGGTCTGCAGACCCTCATGTCCCTTACGTCTTACAACAATGGCATTGCCCAGGTTGGCGGCCAACAACTTTGGGCGCCGAGACATTCCAACCAAAGCAATGCATACTTGATACTCAGTTAAAGATAAAACCAGTGGGAATGTTCGCCGTTGGAGGAGCAGGCCCAGGATGCTGCCACAACAGCAAACAACATTCCCGCTTGATGCTGAAGTCACCATTACTGTTAATGTGCGAGACGTTCAGACTGGCCTTGACCCTATAGAATCTACTATGGAAGGAAGCATGACTGGACCAACTCCACTGGAACCGGCCATGTTGTTAGAAACAGCCCCAAGTGGCGTTACAGCCGTATGAGGGTGCTCAGAGGTAAGATGGGGGGCCTGTGTTCTCTCTGTCCCTACCTTGCCCCGGTGATCGTATACACGCGTCCTTCGTGGGTAGCAAGGCTAAAAACCGGAGAACTTTCCAATGAACAGATGGTTATATTACTAAATAACAAACTAAGCAAATGGACTAGCCACGTAGACTGGTTGTAACGCAAACTTCGAACATTTCGCACTTTATTCATAACAGTGGAACCTATCTGTGCGATAAGAGATGAAAATCCATATCCGTCTCCAGAATTGCAGCAAGTTTTAATGAGATTATGTACATCAATGACTTGAAATATGAACTATTTGTTACTAAGTACCATGTTGTAAACTTTCAAGAATTACCCATTTGATGATGCTTTTAAATTGGTTTCTCCCATGTTAAATCCTTTATACGGGGGTAAGAACTATTGTTATCTTAACTTTAACACTTTATGTATGCTGAAAAGCGATATTTTTCTGCTCGTTTCATAACTAGAAGGATCTTCTGATGCTTTTAACAGAGTCGATGACATGCCGTCTTTACCGCTCGGGACCCGTAAAACCTTGTGGATTTTTCGACATGTGTCAGTGTGATGATGCCTGCAAACTGACTTCTTTCATGCTAAATTAGTAGCGTGAGAATGAAACATTTACTTATTTATTTACTAAGATTGTACTCCTGATAGAAACTCAGTTGTCGTCAGATACTAGCCATGCCGAATCTTGTGTAGGTGGCATATGTCCGTTCAGGAGAGACGGGAACGCTATGAGGGAGGCAGTGTGTCGGCTTTTATAAGTGGCCGTCTCAAAAGTGAGCGAACCACTGAAACTCAAGTTTTAGGGCTCCCAGACCCCATCTGACCACATTTTACGGATGGGCACACGAGGTACTTCGTCAGGAGACCTATAGAACCTCTACCAGTGACGTGGAACGGGATAGATTACTACTGCAAGTAATGTCAAGAGTAACGGCTATAGGATATGACCAGGTCACCATAGCTGGAGGTGTTAATGGCCCAACCCTCAATCTAAGGCAGGATAACCCAAAGCACGAGGTTCGACCGAAACATGCCCGACACCATCAAAGAGGCTGGGCAATGTGAGAATGTTGGTGCTGACACTAGCTGGGGGTTGAGCGGAAAACCGTCCACACTGGACTACCTTCTTACCAGCGAGGGCAGAAAACGTTCGGGTTAAAAACACCCTTATCAGCGGTGGTCACAGCGAGTTAGTGTTTAATTTGGAATTCAGTGAACAACTGTCGTGCTTTTGTCTTTAATACGGCAAGGCAAACTACGTGAAGACAGACCGGCATGAGTCGGTGGCACTATGGCTTCAGGAGTAAAGTAACCCTCAGAGCGATCGATACTTGGAACTCGTAAGAGGTATCATCAGGAGGATTATCTCTGAAAACGTCCCAATAGTCACAACAATGCCAGAGAACCGAGCCTCGTGGCTGAAACTAGATGCTGAATGCCTCTTGAAAGCAAAGGGGAAAGCATGGCACGACTGGGGGATCTCCAGAAAACAGTCAGATCACAGGACATACCTGGCTCTAAGAAGTAGTTTTAGAGTCAGAGTGGGGAGAGACAGGGGGTCGTCCCAGATGAACCTTGCTCAAAAGCTTGGGGTGAACCCCGAGAACCCACGTCTAGCCATGGCGGAGAGAATCTATCAGCCGGAGAGAGTGCGTCATAAGAGGCCTGAACGGAAAGAACCTCGCTGGACTGGAGACCACTGAACCCCTAAGCGCCGCCCTCGACACAACTAAACATGCCGTCATCCAACTAACATTGTCAACTACTCGAGCAACATTCAGGACTACTCAGTGCCACAGAGTTGCAGGAAATGAAGACAGCCCTTGCTGGGTCCCCGAAAAACTGCCGAAGCTCCGCGGGGGGGGGACCACCGGGATTGACGAAACGTTCGGCCGTCTGTGTTGAAATGATGTGAGGCTGCCTTACGTGGTCCACTCTGCTATGTGTCTCAACATTCTTAAGATAAGTTCATGCTTTCACTAGAGTGGAAAGTGTTATTCTATCTCCCATCCTAGAAGGAGGAGACAGGCAGGGCCCGAAATGCCCTTGACACATGTCACTTCCGTCGATGCTATTCGAAGTAATGTGGGGCTTGGTAGACGACCATGTCGGAGAGTATACGAACAAGGAGACAGCGCCAAGTGACGCTTAACACGGTTTCAGAAAGTATGGGTTCCGCAACGCAAACCCTGTGGCAGCCGGTGACAACCGGATGACATGCTGGGACTCCAAGTTCCTGTTCATGTGGCTTTCCTGGATTTTGCCAAGGCCCTTGACAATGTCCCGCACACCAATCTCATTCGCAAAATATCAAGTTCTGATGCCAGCGGTCGAGACTACTTAGATGCCGGTAAAGTCTCCGGAAAACTCAATAGAGTTTCCGGGCTTGGAAGAAAATTATCATCTGGCGTACCAAAAGGAGCGATTCTGCGGCCTCAAATGTGCCTTCTTTTTGTGAATGACCTCTCATCAAGTTTCAGCCCCTGATTTTACGCTGACGAAGCTGAGTTGTAGAGAGCTGTGACACGAGAAGCGGAAGTAAGTGCGCTGCAAGGTGATCTCAGATTCCTTGCAGAATGGATGGGTAACGACTGGACAAATGCCAAACTATGTTTCCCTCAACCCTGACTCTCGGAAAGTATCTTACTCTCGCTGCGGAACGCAACCTTCCCACACTACCACGGGAAGAACCTGGGACTAATAGTGACTGACAAGCTGGACAATACCTCTAATTATCCGGGAGATGCCTGTTGAGCCTACGCAGTACTGCACTTCATACTCAGACAACTAAGCGGCCTAACCCCGAAACTCTTTATGAAGCTGTACAAGACCTACATACTACCTCACCTAGAGATACATACCTTCATTGTGCCACCATACCTAAAAAGAGACGTGAATTTCTCGGAGAGAGTCCAGAGGCGAGCAACAAGGGGTGTCGTGGGGATGTGGCGAAAACCCTATGAAGACAGCTGAAGCACCTAGGACTTAACTCTCTTAGCTACCGTAGATGGCATAGTGACTTAACAACGGCCTATAAATGCTTAGTAAACCAAGTCACCCCAACGGTGGAATCCTACTGAACGGCCACTGTGGCAATCTATGTGGTAACCCGAGGAGAGTCCCCCACTAGGGAGCGAAAACTGGTGTGCGTTCACGCCTCTCTCTGAGAGTTTGGGGCCACCGAAATGCATTGCCTCCGGAGATTTCTACTGCTCCATCTGTTGACAGTTTCCAGACGAGGTTCGACAAATACGCAGTGGCGCAAGGTTTGCGCTCATCCAGCTGTGACGGACCAGGTTGATACAATCTACTAACTCGCATAGCTCGGCACAACCAACCCACCACTGAATCTTTCGTAACGCCACTATCATCGTGAACGTGACTCAGCCTTATGCTTCCCTGCAGATATCTCCTCCTGCAGTCACGATCTCTTGCTGGCAGTATTACGACCTCCGTTCCCATAATCTATCTTATACTCTTACTTGCTACTCTGACTGTATGATCTCAACCTATTTATGTAAGTTCTCTCTATCACTTGTTTCCCATGAACTTACCTGGGTTTCCTCCTCCTATCCGTTCTTTTTCTCTCGCTCCCTCTTCTTCCTTTTCATGCCTGCTCTCCCCTGCTTTCTGTCAGCATCTTTTCTATCTTCCTTTTACAACTAATCCGACCAACTGTCAGGTGGCACGACGCTTGAGGAACCCATTTGTGCTACAGTCCTTAGAAAAATCACACAGTCCCCACAAATGTAATCAAAATAAGACTCCTCGTCAGGCCAACCAGAGCTGCAGAAGGTGAATGGCTAGACCCACTGCACAAGAATCTATGAACGACCTAGAACCGTTCCGGAGGACCTGTAAGCCAGTCCGAAGAAATCAGCTGGTTCACACTAGACAATTAAAATACTTTGAAGATATTGGATTTCGGAAGAATTTCAGAATTTATTCAACCAATCATTTCAACCCTAACTGCATTTCGGTATTGAGTATAGAATAAGTCCTTGTTATACGAATGCAAATGGATGAACTTGTCAAGCCCACTTTTTCGGATGTCTTCCAAGGGGAGTATCTCGAAAGTAAGGGTGTTATTTTAGTTCTTCAGCACTAGAAATGAACTCAGTACACCATGTGTATGTTAGTTTTGCTACAGCGTTTAGTTTCATCTGCCTTCGCTTATAGATTTCAGTTGTTTATGTGTGCAATTCCGCAATATCCAATACCAACGACGTTAACAATGTATTCTGCTTATGAAAATAGTTCACAAACCAGTTGTATGTGGCACCCATATACATTATTTTTGATTTCGGTGGAGTGATTGGATTTTGTAGTGGGGTAATGTATACCTAGTCTTATTCAGATTGTAGTATTCAACACGTGTTGGATACGGCACCGTAAGATTTGGAGTAAGTATAAAGATGCCATGAATGTACATGTTGCTGCATGCAGATTTTCACCACTGAATCATAACTTGAAATCTGGACTTGAAGTTCTAGGACCGAAGGTTATTTACCTTTCCTTTCCCAGTAGATCTTTGGGCTTAACCAAGACTCCTTCCAGCGAGTCAACTGATTGAGCAGACACCATTTCTTCCGAGAGTCGGTTCCAGTTTGATAGTTGACGTAGAAAACAGTAATCTACGGGGACGATGTTTCTTTTTTACTGTTAATATGTCGTGTGAGAGGTTCCGATCTGGTAGAAAGAAAGAAGAGAAATCGAGTCAAAAGTCATTTCTTAAAACCCTGTGTAGTATGATTAGATCACCCCCTTGTCTGCAATAAGCTGCCGTAAATAATTCTTCAATGTTAAGGGAAAGGGTAAGAAGAGTAAGGGAGTCTGCCCTACGACCCCATGGTACGACAGAAAACGTAGATGAATCAGCCATATTTAAGGCAGAAAGATTAATGAACTATTTTAGCTAAGTGCTTTCTGCTGACAAAACTAGTGGTACTCTGGGTGCTGGTGTTGTTGCTATGGCTCCTCCAACGAAACTTTATCAGATCACGCGGACAGTTATCCGACTGCTCAGAAACCCAAAACCTGGAAAGTCACTGACCTCAAACGGACTACACCTTTGATTTCTGTTGCTTTTATTGGTATCGCTTATCTGAATTATTAGACATGTCTTTATCTCAGGCACGAGCCTTGGGGGATTGGAGGATGACATAGTCATGTATTTAGAGGTAATACACAACTAGTCACCAACTACCAACCTGTTAAACTTACTGGTATGGCTGTTAATGTTGTCGGGGTACTACGTGATAATATATTGAAGCATTTAAAAACGCAGTCTACTGAACCAGAAGTTGAACACTTTTCCAACAAACCTAATCTCATCAAGAAAGGCTGGGGTTGGGCCAGTAGACGTGGTGTTTACTAACTTTTGGTAACGTGTCCCACCTAAGGTTGATGCAGAAACTTCATAATGGGGTTCAAGTATGATTTAGAGAATATGTATGCAAAAGAAGGCAGAGTTACAGAGATTAGAATATCTAACTGACAAAATGTTACCAGTGGTACTCCTCAGAACACTATCCTTGCACCACTACTCATTCTTATTTACGTTCAGTAAATACTATTAGTTGATCATATGAAGCCATAGAGGATCGTTCATTATGATGATGGTAGGTTTGCACCCAAAGCTGATCTCGGTGAACTCGTTGAGTGGTCTAGATGATTCAACATGGAAATGAATCCTGGCAAACATGAGGAAATACATATTGAGAGCGACTACTGTAATGGATACTCATTGAATGGCCTACCAATACCCCTGGTTTTAAATGAAATGACTTAAGGGCCATCGCAAACCACGATCTAAAGATAGCTGCAAAATGTAGTAATTCTGCACCTTAAGCGTCCTACGTTCTTTGGTCACTCCATAAAGCATTGACATGCTTTGATGAAGAAATCTTCAGAATTCTGTACTCTGTCTATGTAAGATCTTTATAGCCCTGTGTCCGGCTGACCAGCCCATGCTTCAAAAAGTAAGCTGTTACATTAAAACATCTCTAGGGGGTAACCAACAAACCAGTATGAAGTCTTGCCCACTATTTATTAGTGGTCAGCAGGGTAAACCTTTTTCCTGTATCAGGAAAATAGGCGATGAATTTATCTGGTCTCTACTCCATCACTCGAATCGTCTTCGAGCGTAGCAATTGTTCTCCGATAGAGTAATGAATGATCGAAAGCCGTAACTGGAACAAGTGGTGGGTGACCCCGTTAAAGGAAAAACTGGATAGTCATTCAGGTTACTATATGGATTAATGCGGGCTAACTGCCTACTTTCTTTTCCTCTCAAAACTGCAATAACCTTGAGGTAGGAAACCATGCTACCATCCTTCTACCAGCAGAAACATCGTCCGATTCGACTAGCCAACATTCTGACATCAACCAAGTCCCAAGTGACGGGATCAATAAGCTGTTCAGCTTGTGTTGGTTCTCACAGTAAATATCCATTTATTAATCTAGTTTCTCCTTGAATTTGTTCACTGGGGCAGATAGTACCCCTAATTTACTTAAATTCTAGTATTTTGTCCGACACCAATGGTGCAAGTATAGGAATCCGTTAGTCTTTCGGTCCTCATGTTTAGTTCTTGGGGCTTGGTTCTCATAGTGACCATTCTTCGAGAAGAAATGACATTCGAGTCAATGCCATGGGACATTTTCTTAATATACAGGAATGGAAGGACTAACTGTAATTGTTGTTCATAAGAAAGGTTGCAAAGCTTGGTCGCCAAAACACCTACCTACTGCACACAAATAAGTCAGCTTCTTTGAATCATCAACTAGGTACTTAAATATAACATCAAAGACCAGGTGGTACATACGTAGGATTAAGCATAGCGAACACATTTTCAAGAGCTTTTGGAGGTTGTTTCTCTAGCTAGGTCCATCTGTCGAAGGTGGGTCATTTATTTTTACTAGGTCTCCTTATAGTCACAGAGGTTTCAACCTATACTTTGAGCTTCAAGGACCTTGCAAATTTATGTACTGCAGTCTTCAAAGTTGTGGCATAGTATTTCAAACTATTACCTTTGAAGTTAGCTTACTTCCTTTAATTGAATATTTTAAGAAATACTAATTGTACAATAGTAATTTCCTGTCTCTCGTACTTTACTCACCAATTTAATTTTTCCTGATATACTTTGACCTATTTCAGTTATTTTCAAACAGCTATCAAAAATATTGATACGAACCAAAAGTCACTGGTTTCATCGTATTTTTCCACAAGAGTTGTGGCCTACCTGTCTAGACGCTTGAATTCCAAACAATGAATCGCTAGTTCAGACTCTACTCCATCTCCTGATGTTGCTGGTGTTGCTTGTCGTCGGATTGGCCTTCACCAACTTCTTTGTGGTGCTGCCGTGATATTCGATTGCCTATCAAGAGCCGAGTGTACGGCGCTTCAGTTCTCTCTTTTGTACTCTACAGTTGTGCAACGTAGCCACTAAAAGTAGAAGCAAGAAGGCCTAAATTGTCTGACCATCGTTACCTTCCAAACATAGGCCATGTCCTGGTGCCACCACATCAGTAACGTAGAACTCAGTCGTAGAATTTTAGGGAGAAGAGGGAAGTGAGTTGTTCAAGTCGTGAACCTTTATCGTCTCAGTTGTCTGGGACATCCATTACACACACCTATTCACCATCTGCCTCGTCGCATAATATTGGCTGAATTGGGTCCAGGCTAGATGGAAGTTAGAGATGGCCAGAATTAAAACATGGACTCAGTTCATGAAGTCTTTAACTGTTCGTTCAAACCGTGTAGAGGAATGTAGACATCTCAGTTGAATTCTGCGTGACAATAGAAACAAATGATGGGAGACTCTGTGACGCGACTCAGAATCGACTTGTGTCGCGCAAATATATCCGCACATCTTAACTAGTATACTAAACTGAAGTACCTTCTCGTTCTTTCTTACCCTCTTTTGATGACTTTCTACTACCTCTGACTGCTTTTCTCCACATTTCTTTTTTTTTTTCATCTGATTGTATTTTCACTTGATGTGGTGATATGAGAGGTGGCAAATCAGATCGTTACACAGTAATGCCAGGTCTTATTTTAATGTTTTCTATCTGGTTACATGCTTCTTAGACGTTCACGTAACTTCAGAGTTAATTATCGCAGTCACATTTGCATGTATTTACCTGAAAACTGCTGCATCCTTCATTTCCTGACTTTTACTTGAGTTGCTTCTTTCCGTCTTCCCGTTTTCTTGAAGTTAGATCCCTGCACTGCTTTGAACCGCACTAACTTCGGCTGGTATGATACTTCCGGGGTTTTTTCTGTTTAGTCCACCTATTATGAGGAATCCAGCTGACTAACCGATACGTCTCTACACGAACTGGATGAAAAGCCACCAACCGCATAGTTATTACCATGTCTTTTTAAGATCATCCTAAAACTTCTACGTACTTACTCCAGATTTAGTCTTATGCCTGGCTAGACCCTAACCAAACATCCATGGTTCATATGACGATGCCGCATTACAATCTAATTAGCCACATTCTCCTTTTGATGTGTTACACTACACCTAATATCAACATTGTTCACTCAGTGGTTTCAACACCTACGTGTAATCGGGGAAGTAACTGTGACCTAGCACATATCCCCCTATTAGGTTTTCCTTCTACAGTTTTTTAAGCATATGAAAAAGCATGGTATACTTTAAGACTTGATAGAATAAACTATTTTCTAATGCCAAAAATTCAGGCATTGACTACACACAATTAAGGAGAGCTTGTATTTATTATACCTGCCCTAGAAAATTAACTTGACCAATCCATAGTGGTGAAAAGTGTGAAGTAGTCAGGAATTAAGTGTATCTTGGTAGGTATATGAGTGCCCGACGAGTTGCGTCTGAGTTTGACACACATTAAGAAATTGAAAGCAGCACAGGCTAATCTGGATCACCTTTTGGCTCTATCTTGACTCCAACATAAATATAAAACGTCAAGTCTACAAATCTCTGTTACAAGTAGTTCCCTACACTTGGAAGCCTTTGCTTATCCGAAATGAGTGTTTACAAACTGTCTCTGTTTGATTACTTTTGTGTCTGTTTAATTGTTCCTTACGACAGCGACACCATATAAGTATTTCTGGAATGCGATAGTCTATTGGGACATAGTGAAAATTACCATTAGTTGTTATCCTTAAACACAAGCTTCAATAGAATCGACTTGTCTTTATGGAAGCCACTCCAGAGGCTTTTACATCAGTCTTTTTTCCCTAGTTCTGGAACTGGAAATAGCATTAAGTTCGTCAGTTTATGATGTCACGATATCAAATGAAGGATAATTGGGTCGAATTGTCATCCTTTGGTGCATCTTGAATCACTGACTGCGATCCAAGGGATCACTTGATATAATGGCAAGAGATATTATCATTCATAATTAAAAATCAGGACCATCAGCGATTATGTCTTGCCTTCCTCGCGTCTTCTGTTTTTAAGCAATAATTCTAAAGTAAAATAGGCTTCTAAGTTGTACCTTACTCCACACTATTCCGTTTGGTGATCATTTTTTTTACCTTTCCCTCTTAACAATAAATTAATAGCCTAACTTGTATGTCATATTTCTGTTTCCATACTATGCAGAATTCGACTTAAGTGATTTAATGTTGCGTCCAACGGATACTGATTATTTTTTATTACTGAGAATTTAAGCGGAAAAGGACTTTTACCCAATAGTTCCCATGTAGGATATAACGCGCATTCTAAATTCTTTTACTAACCACAACCATACGATAAATTTAGCATTTCGCCATGTTTAGAATTCGAAATATATTGTCTTTTAACATTTTTATGACTTGTTTCAGTCGACAAGCAGTCCTCGTAAACGTTCCTGTGGAATCATCTCTGCTTGTTGCCCTATTCGTTCTTCCGTTTTAAAATCGTCAAGAAAACAAGCAAATATTAAACCACATAGTGTGGATGTGATGTCATCAACGGTAAATTTACCACCCTAGTTTGGACCGAAAACTAACAATTAGTGTATGCACTGAACTTGATAATTGTTCTTATTTGTTTTGTTTTTTCCGTTGCTTTAATAAATAATGCTATTAGTTTGCGTTTTGAAAATTAACACTTGTCATGTCACGAAGAGTATATTATTTTTTTTATCATCACTGTTTGCCTCTTGAGTTTCTAGTGGAGCACAAGGCTTCACTAACAAGTCTCCATTTCACTCTCTTCTCTTCTCTACAGTCTTTTTCTTTAAACTGGCTCCACCGCTGCCCACAAGTCTCCATTTCTTCCTCGCACCATCTCTTCCATGTCACCCTCAGCTGGGACGCCCAACTTGTTTCCCATTTGGCTTCTACTCGATGGCCTGGCATGTGATGTCCCCAACCCAATCCATCTCCACTTTCTTCTACATATTTGTTGGGCTATGGGTTGTTGGTTATTTCTTTACCAGCCAGCCAGAGTTCCTTGTTGCTTATTCCTTCTGGGCATCCATCCGATCTTCAGTATCGAGTGAGCGTAGGTGGCAGCTGTTCATGTATGATATCTGCAGTTTGTCGGAAATGCTTTCTGTAATGCGCCAAGTCTCTTAACCACCACATAGAAGCACTGGCTTGACTGAATAAGTGTTAAAAATCCGGATCTTGTTCTTTATGCTGAGTGCAGTTCAGTAGATCTCCACACTGATTTGAGATTAGTAAAGGCCTCTCTTGCTGTCTTTCTCATCCTGGCTTTGACGTCTTCATCTGTGCCGCCTGTATTTGAAACGATACTGCCTAGGCTTCTCCCGTTGATGATGATTGATGCTTGTTGTTGTTGCTGTTGGTTGGGTATCTTCATCACCTCTATCTTCTCTACGTTCACCTGAAAGAAGTGCCGTCTTCACTGTCCTGCCTCTTCTGTCAACTTGTTAGTTTTTGCCTATAGGTCTTCGAGTTTATGGAACATTAGACATAAATCTAAATCTTCTGAGGTCTTTTCATCGGTCAAACAGCGTATGCCCATCTCCTCGCTCCTCACAGTTTGTTACATGATCCAGTCGACCACAATTATTTTGGTCAACGTTTAAATACTTGTACACATCCTAACAGCAGGCATATTTATTTTCCAACACATTGCTGTTCTTGTTTATGTTTTAATTTAAAATTTCCTAAACAAATCACCAACTATGGTTTTCCTATTTGAAGTCCCCTAGGTAAATTGTAGATAAACCTAATACAACTTTTCGTCTCTTTGTTTCATTTGTTGTGTTTTCACTCAGTGGCAGCAGCCTGGAAAACTTTTATGACCAAGATGTACTCTAACAATTAGTGACTGAAATGAATTTAACATGTCAACTAGAACTAGGTGAAGACTATCTTCTTGACGTCCAGATAGCTATGAAGTTTCACAGGGAAACAAAGCACTTTAATATTAAGGCTAATATAATCAAGTTCATACGATGGCTAGCAAATTTTTGTTCAGTTGTTCATCTTCACTAAGATTCTTCTGTAGAAACTAACTTATTGATGCAAGTTTAAACATATCTAAATAGGTTTTTTTTTAAATGCGTGTTTTTAGTTCTTATTTTAGCACCGATCATGAATTCTTTTGATTGAATTGTATTTATGAATAATAGCTAAAACGTACTAGTTGGGAATAAGTGACAAATTATTTTAAACAAAGGGTAATTTGTTCTCAGTCTGACATTCGGAAGGAAGTTGTCCAACAATGTATTCGATATAGATAATTATTCCCATTGATTCTTTGAATTTTCACCTTCATAAAAAAGCTGAAATGTACCACTTACCTAATTGTTTTGTTTCAGATTGTCCATGTAATATTGTTCTGTACCGTCAGACAACACCTATATATTCACCCGACTGCTATGAAAAAATGGCTAAGTGGTGAAATTTATTCTAAATTGGCATCGCATATCATTCATTTCCATCTACACTAAATCTTTGTGTTACCTGGGAAAGGAGTAGGGTGGATAGGATTATAGGATAATGAGACTGTATGGTCAGTTAATCGATATCAGCACGAAACCTCTCATTACTATGTAACGCTTTAGTTTGCCACATCCCCTACCATCACATCAAGCGAGAAGGCAACAAGATGAACGGGAGAGAAGTAGAAACGAAATCAGTCAAAAGTGGTAGAAAGTCATCAAAAGAGAAAAAGGATGATACTTTAGTATAAGGATAATGTGTGGATACATCTGCACCACTGAGTTTGATTCTGAACTATATCAGCTAGTCTCGCACCACTAGTTTATGTTTTCATGCAGACTTAAACCCGAGATGTTTATATTCACCTAGACGCCTCACATCAGTAGTAAACGACTTCATGAACTGATACTATGTTGTCGTTTTCCCGCCTGTTATCTTTATCTAGCCTGAACCTACTTCAGTCGTTACACTGTACTAGGCCATAAGTTCATTCACAAATGATTTGATCTGTGTAAATAGTTGCAAGTTGGTCATTTGGGTTCTACAAGATGGCAGAAGTCATAGCCATTAAACTGAGCATTCCAAAATGTCTCCTGGTTATAACGTCATAATCACTAGTATCTTGCTTTTAAAGTTGTGGTTGTTCTACCCCATTTTCTCTATTTTTGCAGTTCCTTAGTTGTTTTTTCCCTTCGGTATACATTCAGGAAATGTTGAGAAGCTGAGTTAATACTGTGTTAGGCTTCAGTTTTCACAGTGAAGATTGATATATCAAAATCGTTTAACGCACAGTGAGGTTATAAATCCGTTCATAGAACTTCTTTCTTAAAAAATACATTTTATTACCGCGAGAATATTAAATTTCCTGTGGAAACTGTCGTCGTTAGTCCCTCAGTCATATACACTTTGGTGATATACGGTCAACCACAATCCTCTGCTTATAATCCACGAATTAATTAGCTACACATAGATTACTTTTTAGAACTGTAGTGAACAATGTGTTTGAAATTTTATCAGATTAAATCACTTGTCAGATGTATCCAAGTTCTAATGTCCATGGATTAATTTTTTGGGGAATTTCGACATATCGTTTAGTATCTATTACATCTAAAGGTGCTCCCATATTTTGCGGTGTATACATAACATTAGTAGTAGCTTATTTTGTGTCATAGTTTTATTGCTGTCATAACTAGTTTGGATTTGAGAGACTGTTCTTTTCCCATTCTTAATCACTTAAGTTCCGTTTTTATTTTAAACTTGTTGCAGCATAAATCTCTTGGCCGATATGAGACAATCGCAAATTTGTTAGAACAATTTTTGAAGGGGAATTTAAAACACAATTATAAATTTACTAATTTACCAGGTGAGATAAGACGCTACACCCCATCTGTTTCTTCGAGGTAATTCCCAATACAAATTAATATTGTTTCTGAGACTAATATAAACAAGTGTATTTTCAAACGCCATGAGTAATTTCTCCCAGAGTAAATGATAATGTTTGACTTCTTAAATTTTAATATATGAACCAGAGTTCGGGCTCATAACCCACTGGTTGAAAGTTGGGTTCTTAAATCGACTAACCAAAAGTTAGGTTGTTCGCGAAATACATTACTGGATTTCACTATTTGTATGCTTATTGTATAGTTACTACATCGTAGCTAAGACTATGTTCTCAACCACTAAGACATGGTCTTGAACGCAACTCCATCATTAAGGGCTTGCGAAATCTTGTTGTCTCCAACTCGTATATAGTGAATAAGATTTACAGTCGATTGCATTTGCATATATTGTGATTGTTAAGACGTGAATAAATTAATTAAGGAATATCATTCAGGGAAATAAGTTATAAGTTATTGGCCATGTGCATGAATGTTGTGTATCTCGGTGGATAGAGTACCAGCTAATGAAGCCTTCGGACTGTAGACTGCAATAATTGCAAATCAAGTATGATATAAGATATTTATAGCCTTTGCATATCGAGAGGCAAATTACCTCCATATGTAGTGAACTACTTACTAGAGCTAGTCCGAGGTAAAGTAAGTTTTAACCACTTAACTTAGGATTCGTATTGAACATCGATGCAGTGCTTTACTAATGCAGCAAGTCATTCTCTGCATTTACTAATGTCATGAACTGTAAGAGAACATAACTACCTTATGGTCTGGATAAATAAAGTTTCGTATGTATGTTTTTAGCCATTTTTTGTCTTACTGTTGAGGTCCAGACAACAGTCTTGAAAGAAGCTTTTAATATGCTATCTATATTATGGAAATATCTATCATGGATACGTTGACTTTTCATATAGTATCTCTTCCATAGAAAATACTAAGGCTTTCTGTTTCTGAAATCATCACGTTGGAAGCTTTTTACAAATTCCAAGGTTATGTGTCAGGTTATGTGAAAATCAATTGCTTTTGAAAAGATTTTCATCATAAACTGACGGTTAAATTTGTGAGCCACTAGATTCCTTCCTATTCAGTGACTGAATAGTTATATGCTTTTTATGAGACCGGACAATCTTAGACTTGATTTCTTACAGAATCTTGTGTGTGCACTGCTGAGAAGTCTAAAATTAGAACAAAACAGCTGTTTAGTAATCTAAAATTTTCAATGGCTAATCAACTGATATCAGTTCATAGGGAAAATTACTTTGACTAAGCATTCATTTCACATTTCCCTGTGATCCCATTTCAAACAAGTTTATAATCTCGTCAATTTATCTAAAACTAATGTCCTCACTGTAGCGTTGCTTGCTTATTGGCTCAACCCCATACAAGTAATGCTTAGGAGAAACCAACGTTTGAATATCTGTAACATTTGTATCGTCTTGCTGCAGCATACACATTTTACTACTATATTTCAAGTATGCTACAGTTCGTTGAAAATCACTACAGAGTGAATAGTTAAGTTATTGTTAACCAAAAAGATGACTGTCTACTTCTTAAGGAAGGCATATGGTCCGACAGTACAGGTCGAAGTAACTGATCGCGGGTTCAATCCCTGGCGGGGTCGTGGGTGCGCACTGCTGAGGAGTTCCATACTAGTCGGACGAAACAGCTGTCCAGTCCTCCCAGGTTTCCTTTGTTCCTCCAACTGATGTCAGTCTACGATGAATAACAAATTGAAGAATACTTTGTTTTTACTTAAAAACCGAGAGCAGTTGTTAACTGTCAATTTGATTCTAATTGTCTACCTCTCGGCATTCTCTTCCAAATGGAATGCGTAATCTAATTATTAATGAAACTAGATAGTCTATAATAATTAGAGGGATAGAGGAGACCTGCTTTAAATTCTTATTTCAAGATGGGATGTTTGACAATTAGAAGTCGCTGGTTGGAGCCCACTGGGGATTCAGGTTTTCTTTGAAATGTAGTTATTATTTCCACTCATTACCGTGAAGGTCATTCTGCCAGAAGAGGGTTATCTGGAATAATATGACTTGTAAAATTGTTTGTTTCTTTTTTTTTTTTCTTACAGATGGTTATTATTTAATCGATGAAATAATTCAACTACCTGAGTTTAAAAAAGAAAACTGTACATACGAAGATCTTGTTGAAGTTGTTCACACAGATGCAGCATTACGCTTTAGTGTTAGAGGATCGAAAGTTCGTCTAAAACCACCAGAATTAAATGTACGGTTTAAGTGCTTTTTTAAAATCTACTGGTTTTTTTCTTAAAAAATGCTTATATTCTTTTAGAAAGACCCTGATGTCATCTTATCAAAGAAATTAGCTTGGATTCTACGTCATGGGGCTGAAAATGTCGGGTTGACGTACGAACCTGGTATGTTTTTCTTCCTTCCTCTTTTTTTTTGAATTTTTCACACATACAAATAATCATATATAGGCACAGGATGAAGACTATCGTAGGAAGTAAATCAATTCGATCTCCCCTCCTATTGTATTAGATCACTTATCAAGATGGCCACACTTGATCTACTGACAAAGTCGCAAAGCCACTTAGTTAGTTACGCTTTGTAACAAAACAGCAAAAATAAAGACGAAGAAATTAAAAAAGTAATTGGGCAGTGAGTATTGTAACACCACTTGGTAGGTTCGTTTAGGTCTTCAGACGGTATGGAAGTTTTACAAGCAGAAAGTAATGAGATACACACGAATAGCCACCAAATCAAACTCAAGATGTGGGTTTCAACTTGCATTCGTTAATCAAAAGTTAAATGTGCGTGGGCGAGGACGAGGGGGACGAATTACAACAATAGTGTTTATCTGCCATGATTCATTGGTGTTCCCGTGGATCCTGGAAGCTAGAGGCTAACGAAACATATGATTGACATTATCTCCTTAGTGGTTTTGATTGTTACATCAAGAGCGCAATAAAATGAAATAACACTTACTACTTTTATACCTAGTAGGCGATGGAAGCAACATAACTAGTTGGATTAAATTTAAGCACTGTCCACTGCTGTCTGTAGTACCTATGACTGTGATTCTGGATATATTAGGTGTACAGTAAAATGACACATTGCCTATCTGATTTTATCTAGTTTGACTGTTTTGGAGATTTTCAAATCAAACATCTCCAGTCAGTATCCGATATAATAGTGGACAGTGGCATGACGCGTTTTGGTACATCAGTCTGTCGTATATACAACTACTAAGAACCCATTTCTTTGTCACCAGATCGTATTTCTTTCTTGTGAACCTTCAGCAGTCATATTGGTTGCAAAACACCTCACTACATTTATGTCCATTGGAATTTCGATTGACAAGAAGACTTTTTACAAAATGTTGAGTATTAAATAAGTTCTGCTTATCTGTATCAAGGATTCACTAATGTTTGGGCGTGTACAACACGCTCCCCCTTCTCAGTCAATCTTAATATCTTCATAAACGAATTCTTCAACATTATTTTGAAATTTTAAGCCTCAAAATGCACTTGAGGATACACTTAGTCTACCTACAAAGACATTCAGTTGTTTTCATCATATTTTTTCATACAGAAAACTGAAATTAAATCCACCAAATGGTTTCCTGGTAGGATATTGATCTTTTCAAAAGTGGAGATATAAGTCCTTATGAAATGAAGGGTGAAAAATGATAGAGGTTTAACATCCATATAGATTATTGTTGATTGTGGTGAATGTAATTGTCTTCTTAAAATAATTCAAATGTAAAAAAGTGTAGTAACAGAGATTATTATGCAATATTTTGATCAAATGAGTCAAATCTCATCTGTAGTTTGTATATTGAAAGTTTCCTATTGTATTAAAAAATTATTTCCATGGGGAAGTTTAGTACTTGATTGAAAACTGATTGCATGGTTGAATCAAATGTATGACACTCAAAAAAAAAACATATTTATGTTCAGTATTTTTGAGATGAATGGGGATTTTCTTAATTTAGAAGTAGTATTCATCATGGAGTGACATCAGTTGGGGAACCATTGAAAATCTGGGAGCACTGGACAGCTGTTTCGTCCTAGTATGGGACTCCTCACCAGTACGCACCCGCAACCCGGCTAGGGGTCGAACTCACAACCCTCAGGTTCCACGGCGAACGCGCTAACCATTCAGCCACTGGGTCGGTTTCCAGAGGTTCACAGTTTCCAAATTCTGTCAATTCACGACATAGCACGACTATCTCCATGATGAATACTACTTCTAAATTTAAAAAAATCCCCATTCATCTCAAAAATACATTACTGTATAGTGCTCATTTGTGAATTGCTTCCAGATGGATATCACGAAGCTCTAATGAGAAGCCATGACCTGTGGGGTCAACCAGTCGGAAGTGAAGTGGATACTAACTGAAGACCTTGGGTGACATTCACGCTATGTTGTGAATTGACAGAAGTTGGAAATTGTGAACCATTGGAAACCGACCCAGTAGCGGGGTGGTTAACACGTTTGCCGTGAAACCTTAAGGTCATGAGTTCGATCCGTAGCCTGGTCGTGGATGCGTACTGGTGAGGGGTCCCATGCTAAGACGAAACAGCTGTCCAGTGCTTTCGGGTTTTCATTGGTTCCTCAACTGATGTCAGTCCATGATGAATACTACATATATATATTCACTGGTCAGGCTATGAACCATACTTGTTTTGTAAGACCTTTACGATACTATCTAGATTTGAGGTGGATATGATTGGAACCTCTAATGCAATCCCTGAATATCGACCACCTAACAGTGCATAACTAATATTTGTTCATATAGAGATGGGAGAAGAGAACATATTATTACTTACGAAGGAAAACTATCAATCCCCTTAGCTGATTAAAATTTTTAGCTATATTTTATCAATATTTATTTTTTCAGGTGGCTATCTTTACCTAGACAGAATACTTCAACTGAAACCATTTCAAGGTGTCAAAGTTGAAGATATTTCACGGGTTGTCAATTCAAATGATAAGAAACGCTATGAACTATCTACACATCCTGAAAATGGTCGTCTACGAATCAGAGCTTTCCAAGGTCATAGCGTTACAGTAAGTCTATTTCTTTTCTGTTTATTTCCTATCATCTATCAATGAACCAACATATATTGTTCGTAGTATGTGAACGTTATCAAATCGTAATGAAGACAACAACAACTAGAATGTCACTTGTAGCTAGCTATACCTCAAATATTACAAGCTAGAAAAACACACTTTGAGCTGTCGTTATTTTCAATCATTTCTTAGCAAAAGGTATGAAGTCATGAAATATTGAAGGTTAGTAAAGAATTAATGTTTAGAAGTCACAAGTAAAAATATTGGTATAATCTCTGTTCCACTATCTAGTGATCTTTAGTAAACCAAGTTATTGACTACTGGTTTCTTCGTATCCTGTTAATGATATCTCCTATCAGCTTATTTCATGTGTGAAAAGAACTGTTGACTCTTTTGTTCATATCTTTTGTAAAGCAGTATAAATCAGTGGACACTACTTCTTCCACGTAAATACTAATTTCTAGTGTCTCTTGTTTATATTATTTACCTGACTCTATCTTGTTTCTATTCACTTCATATTTTTTCACTGGTTAATATTCTGCTCATTAAAATGTTTTGAAATGCTGTAGTTTAAAATGTTTCACTAATATACCAAAACTCTACGTTTTTTCTATCGAAAGTCTCCAGCACAAATGTTAGACAGAATAATTAAATATTAATTTTTTATTCGGAATAGACGAAGCCAGTTAAGCTGAAAAATATCCTAAACTTAGTGTACATTTAATTATCATGCAAACAACCTAGTTTGTACAACCAAATATTTGTAAGAACTTAATTTTAGCTCAGTGATTCTCATACGAACGTGTATTTTACGCTACTACCATTTGTAGTTGGCACTGTGGTTCATTGATCTAGGTATCTGTCTTTCAATCAATGGATTATGGGTTCTAACTTCCACTACCCCACCTATTGAAGTCTTGGTAGCCAGGTAGTATCATTAACCATCATAAAGTATCATATTATTATTATATGTCCCTTGGGTTCCTAATGGAACATAGGGCTTCACTAGCACATCTCCATTCCACTCTCTTCTCTGCAATCCTTTCAACCCGGCTCCACAACAGCCCACAACCTCTCATTTCTTCCTCAAACCATCTCCTCCATGTCACCCTCAGCTTGGACGCCCAACACACCGTTTCCCATCTGGGTTCCACTCGAGTGACTGGCCTGGAGCGTGATGCCCCCAAATGTTTTTCTCAATGCATACCCAATCCATCTCCAATTCCTTCCAGTGCATATTTGTTGAGTGATAGGTTCTTGGTTGATTCGTTGCTAACCAGCCATAGTTCCTTGTTGTTTATTCTTATTATTCTGGCCATGTGAGCTTGAGTAAGGAGCCAGAGTAGGCAGCTGTTGATGAATATCTGTAGTTTGTTGGAAATGCTTTTCGTAGCGCTCCAAGGCTCTGAACCATACAGAAGCACTAACTTGACTGAATTGGTGTTGAAAATCCGGATGTTGTTCACGCTTTATGCTGAGTGGAGTGCAGAATATCTCCACACTGGTTTCAGGTTAATGAGGGAAGGCCTGTCTTGCTGTCTTTTCGATCCTGGCTTTGACATCCTCGTCTGCGCCGCCGACTGTAGTTGAAACAGTGCTGCCTAGATAGGTGAAAGAGGTACTTCCTTTAAGTTTCTCTCGTTGATGGTGATTGGTGTTTGTTGTTTTGTTGTTGTTGTTGGGTATCTTAATCACATCTGTCTTCTCTACGGTCACTTGGAGGAAGTCCCGTCTTCGCTGCCTCTTCTGTCAACTTGTTAGTTATCGCCTGTACATCTTCAAGTTTGTGTGACACTAGACACAAGTCATCGGCGAAATCCAAGTCTTCTAGGTTCTTTTCAGCGGTCCAGCGTATCCCCCTCTTCTCGCTCCTCACTGTTTGTTGCATGATGCAGTCGACCACAATCAGGAATATCATGGGTGACAGTAGACAGCCTTGTTTTACTCCTGTTTTCACTTCAAAGGCATCATAAAATAGATGTGACTAACTGTCTGCTGTACAAACTTGCATGTGATTACTAAGTGCAGTGTAGTTTTCAGTTGTAATTTTCCAACTATCTGTAGACTGCAAAAAATAAACTGTAGGTAGTCAACTTCGATTGAACTATCTTTGAGTTCCAGAGAGAATATATTGCCTCACTTGAAACACATACTAGGTTTGACTTAATGTCAGCAAGTTTATTAAAGGCTTCGATAAGTTCTCATTTAAGTGACCATTGTCATCTAAACAAACTAATGATCGATTTGTTCTTATTATCTGTTCAAAGTACAACTAACCTACTTAAAGTGTGGATGTGACAATTGAGCTGGACTTGACACACAGGCCATATAAACAGTCCTATAAGACAATAATCAACTTGTAATTTATCAATAGATATGTTAACCAAAATAGTATCAGCGTGGGCGTAGTCGCTTTTGTTCCATTGAACAGTCTACTTCATCCTTTCTTGTCACATTCCATAGTTTCGATACTTCTTGTATCATCATCAAAATCAGCATAGGACCCAGGCATTACTGCGTAACGGTCCGAGTTGCCACAGCTCATATCAGTAGATCCAGTAAAAAGGCAGTGAAGTGGGAGATGAAGAAAGAAAGAAAATTCAGTCAAAAATAATATAAAGTACTAAAGAGAGAAAGGAAGAATGAGGAAATGGTGAGATTCGGTAAAGCGTCGTTAACATGAGGATAGTGTGTGTATACATCTGTGCCACTGACATCGGTTCTGAGGCGTATCACCTAGCCTCCAACCACTGGTTCCTCTTGTTCCGTGTGATGTGATGCCCAAGTTTTGTATAAAACATTGTTATTGATCTGGACATTTAACGTGTCATTCCCACACCATTTTTCTACGGTATGACTAATGCTCTATTTTCTGCCCACATTGTAATGTAAATCGCTAATTGGTTAATCTACTCCTATTATGGAAATGTCTCAAATTGGGGGCAAGGTCATTTTTCATGTGTGTACATTTCACGTGTTTTGTGACTTGAATTATTATAATATTCTGGGAGTGATAGACTCTGCCATCTGCCAGCTTAGGTCTTCTCTGTATTCGTCCCAGGGTTGCAGTCAGTGTTTTTTGCGTACCAAGTTAGCTGTCAGCTATTATCCTTCGAAACCATAACATCGTGGACCCCAACCGGCTAGTTTGCATCGCTCTGCATGACTCAACCGACAGTCAACGACTTCATACATTTATGCTATGTTTTAGTCTGGCCACCTCGGGCCTTTTTCCAGCCTGAACCTACTTCGGCCAACATTGTGTGACGAGGCAGTCGGCCACTAGGTATATGTAACACATGTCCCAGCCAACTATCTCGGTCGATGAAGATTCATAACCTCGTCAACTGATTTACCTCTTCTTCTTAAAACTCTACACCTGACTTCTGCATTACTCACATAGTAGCACCACGGAATAGGCCTATACTACGAAGGCAACGGTGGTCAAACACCTGAAGACTTCTCATGTCTTCCACCTCAATGGCCATACAGTAGCATAATTCTTTATCGTGCAACGTTGAACATCATTTAGTTTTAATCTCAATAAAACCCTATCTACGACGAAACTCTTGAAATAAGAATACGTACATATAAGAGATATAAAAGGCGTTAGCTTATTGATTGAAATAATTATAATCACATAAATACTGCATAAATATACACTTTGGTTTGTTTAAATATATCCTTACCACAATAAATCTACTAACCCCACAACAAACTCGGAATTATATTGAACAGTCACACAATTACTGTGTTGGTTTTACACATTGGACTAAGTTAAATGAATCTTTACGGTATGTGAAACTTTTGTTATTCAAAGTATAATTAGTAGTTAAATATTTTGTTGATGGATAATGAATGACCTTGATCGTCAAGAATGTACATTGGTTCTGATATTAAAAAACAACAAATTAATACACATCCTCTCAAATCTCCCAGTAGAATGCACTCATTCGATTTAAGCCATACTATGTATTAGCCCTCTTAAATATACTGATAAAACTGAGTGTGTAGAGCCTCTCGCCTTTCCTTATATAGTGTTCTCAAATAGATCTAGGTTCATCGCATGTCATGGAAATTCTTTTCACTGCTTTCGTATACCAGGAGTCTTTTCATAAAAGCAAATGTTCTGTCGTTATCACTGGATTTGAAAAACTTTAATAGTATATATCCTGTCAAAGATCCTGAATGAATGAATAGTGTATATGCTTAATTTGATCAGCGAAAGTCATATGGTCTTTTCACAGCTGTATTATAGGTTAGACTTCAAGTAAAAGCTAACAACATGTTTCTACCGGACATGTGGACAGTATTTTAACCCTAACATAGAATATGACGCATCTTTTGAAGCTTCTGCTGTGTACCTTCTTTGTTTTAAATGGTAAAAGAATAATACTATTCGACAATATTACAATGAGAGTTGTCTATCGTGGACTGACTGACATAATCAACATAGAACTTCACACACTGGTTCATCGGCTCAAGTTGCTGCACTTCCCAGTAGTATACAAAGAGCAGATGAATAGAAAACGTGATATTAAAGTAGATAAAGCAGTGTGAGAGAATAAACAAACAACCTGAAGGTAAAGGTTAGGGCGAATACCCAAGCTTTAAAAAATATCAAAGCGTGAATACATCTGCACCATTGTGACCTATTCTCAGCCATGCCACTAAGAGTTCTCAATCACTAATTCCTTTCGTCTCGGTGACCTAAACCAAGCAGTCTACATTTCCCTACACGGCTCAGGCCAACATCAGAAACTTCATCGACTAGTGCCAGATCTTAGTCTGACCGCCATCAACCCTTTTCAACAGTATGCCGAGGTAGGTGGTGGCTCGGCGTGCTCAGTTCATGTCCAAGCCACCTCAACCGAATAAGGTTTGCAACCTCAACAATCCATTTGCCGGTCCTGCTAATACCCTATCCTGGATGCAAACAAGGATTTCAATTTCCCACATGGATGTTAATCTTGATATGTATGCTAATGACTCAGTAT